ATAAACAATTGGTCTTGGAATATAAAGTATTAAAAAGATAAAATATTTTATATTTGTTTTTGCGTTTTTCAAATTTCGATTTAAAATTTGCAATTCTAAACATTAAAACACCTAAAATATCGTAGAAACTATCGTATCGTCTTTGAAAAAGTAATGGTGTGCAAGTATTAAATTTACACCAATACTTTGAACCACATTTATAGCGTAAACTGCTTTCCAATAAGAAATTAATAGTGCGGGATCGGAACCAGGTATGATATAGTCATCGTGCCGTGCCTCAGTAATGAGTTAAATTCACTAAAAACGAGGATAACCCACCTTTAACCAAACAACATATACAAAACACAAAGCTGCCTATGTATGTGAAAATTTGTGTTGGAAAATACCTAACAGAACAATAAAATACGATAGTAACTATCGTATCATCTTTAATTAAGTAATGGTGTGCTAGTATTTAATTTCTACCAATACTTTGGACCACACTTATGGTTGAAACTGCTTTTCAGGTCTCATATAGTCATCGTTTCGTGCCTCTGTCACAATTAAAATTCACTAAAAACGACGATAACCCCCCTTTAGCCGATAATATACCAAAACAAAGCTGCCACATATGTTAAAAGTTTCTGTCAAGTGTTGCAAAATACTTTACGATTTTTCTCATTCGCCTGCCGGATTCCAAGCTAATAAGTTTTTTTTCATCATAACTTTCCTTCACTATGAACAAGCGAAACTCCTATAATAAGTCCAACAGGGGTCAGCAGAGGCGTCCAAAAGGTGTGGGCATCGATCCGAGCGACATCGAAGCCCGTTTGAATCGTATTTACGGAAACTTGCAGACCGCTGCATCGCCTAGTGAAGTTTTGGTGTATCGGCGTCCGTGGCGAAACTATACTCCCCATGATACCGAACTAGAGATAGAGGAGCGACGCAGGCAACGAGAGAGGTCCAATAACTTTCAGGAGGACTCCAAGGACAAGGAGGAAGACAACGACAACGGCAGCGGCAGCGGCAAGAAAAAGGAAGAAAAGGTGCAAAAGAAGGTTGGCTTTATAGGAGTGGCGTGCATCTGCTCCGAATGTGGCAATTCCCACATCAGTGGAGACAACGCTGAGACTGGCCAGGATCAAGCATCATCTTCGACCAAGAATCGGAAACCAACATGGGAGCAGTGGGTAGCCTCTCAGGTGCCAGACAATTAGGACGAAGAACTATGCAGATCCAGTTTTTTTTACAAAGCCCTAAATAAATAATGGTTTAAAGAAAATTATTATTAGACTGATCAATTATTGCACTGAAAATAATTATATTTCTTGATTGCAGCTACAGAGTTGGGATTCTGTGAATTCTAGTTTTGGCAAAATACCCAATAACATACCCAATATTATAAGGATCTGCCGACTTTATTCTCTAGCTACCATATAACTGAAAGATCGGAAAAGCTCCATTGTTTGTGCTTTTGAAGAGCGCAGGCTTAAACATCTTACAGATCCTATGTTTAGCCCAAGTATATACACAAAACTAACAGAGATAGGTATGTATATTCAACTAAATACACAGTAAAAACTATTATTATTCGGCACCTGCACTAAACATATAAATAATAGTGTAATAATAATTTTTAATGTGCAGTTGTATATACCAATATTGCTATTTTCGTCACAAAAGTGGACATCAGATATTTTGGGCGTAGCTTGCGGGTCCATCATCGTTATTTTACCTCGTCAATATGTTTTTTAAATTGTATATTAATTCTAAAAATGAATTATAAAATGAAATATCAGATATATGTATCAAATATGTATATACACGTATACATATGTATGAATATATCAAATGGGTCACAAAACATAAGAGGGGTTTCTACCTTGTTGGGTTACCCAATAATGGTGGCGTGTCGGCGGGGACTCGTCATCATGGTGAAAGTCGTAGAGTCATAGTCGTAGTCTGTAGAAAAATCTAAATAAATAATTTTCTATATTTTTAAACGGTTCTGGTATCACGGAACCTCCCGGAACGAAAAACATGGTTTTGAGAAAAACGAGTTTGAAAATTAAAACACTCTTGACCCGCCACCACCAATGGCCGAAAACTTTAACATATTTCGACTTAAAATTTTGGGAGTATTTTTGAATACAATACTTTGGACTTTAGAAGGTAAAAACCCCCTTTAAGGGTTTAAATAAGTTCTTTCATTAATTTCAGCCTACATATGTATATGTAAGTATTTACTGCAGTTTTTCTTGCAGTTCTTGCATAAATTTCAGCCTACATACATATGTATATGCAAGTATCCATGGCCACTTTTAAGGACTTCATACTTTTAAAGTATGAAATTTAGAATTATAGCGTAGAAATAAAATAAATTAAATAATCATAAGCTTCTAATAAAAAATTCAAAACCCAAGGCCAAGAAAACTTTCGTGAATATATTTAACAAACTGCAAAATAGATTTCAAGGTACTGGTAAGATTTCATTTTTGGTTGCATTAATTATTGGTTTCAAGTTCAAGACACTCGCCCGTCTGAAGACTGAAGGATAGACGGAAAAGTTTTGCGGTTCGGGGGAGGAAAGTAAAAACGAAGCCTTCTGACAGTCCACTGTCAAAACTTTTTTGATTATCTTAATTGCGATTACAGGGGGGCAAGGGAAGGCCAACTCCAATGCTCCATTCCCCATGCCCCATGCCGCAGAGGAAAACCCCAAAAAAGACACCACCCAATGCGTGCATAACCCCAAAAAAAATTGAGAAAGAAAGAAGGACAGACAGTCAGACAAATGGTTGGGAAAATACAATATATATTGTATATCCAAACCGACGGGGAGTTGACTTCGAAGGGGTGGGAGGGAGCTCATCCGCTGAGCTGAAATTAACAAGATTGACCCCCCATCCCCCACCAGGAACTTTGGCGGGGCAATGAAAGAAATTGGGCTATCAAAAAAAAATAAGAAAAGTATAAAGGAAGAAAGTAGAAGAAAAGTTAAAGGAAAAACCGAAACCGAAACCGAAAGGAAAACTTTTCGCCAAAAAGGATAAACAAACTTTCTTTCTCGTTTTTGTCCACTGCAATTACAAGACAACTGACCCCTCCTCCTTAGGAAAGTCCTGTTTAGGTCTCTGGGGGAGGCAAGGCATCGATAATCACAATTCGAAAATAATCATAGTAGTTTGGCCCTCCAATCAATGATTATCCTGGGGACTATCCAGGGGATAACTCTCTCAGGACATCCAGTAATAAGACTTTACTTCAAATGGAGGTCATAAATAAAGTTTAGAGGTAAAAGTTTCAACAAGAATTAGGTCTAAAAAATAAATTAAATCCCTTTCAAATATAGAAGTATATTAAAAAACCACAAAAGTCAAGAGCCCTTCATGCGATATTTGTAATGAAATTGTAATGCAATAGATCGATAGCCTGGGTATCGAAGTAAAAGTGAGTGGCGCCGCCGAGTAAGCACTGGCTATTTAATTGCACTCTGTGCGACTCAATGGATAAATCAACATTTTATGGCATGCCACAAAATTTCGCAGGTGAATCAGCAAACGCAAACAGATCCTTCTGAATAAAGGAGGCGGCTGCAGAGGAGAGAGTGGTTACAAACCATGAAATGCTTTTGGCCCAAAATGTTTGCTGCTTCAGCATCAGTGGCCCAAAAAAAAACAAACAAAAACACGAATTATTATCATGATTACCATTAGCTGCCGGTATAAACTCTGTTTTTAGAAAGAGAATTTTTCAGGTGTGTGTGGTCTTTTTGTTCCCTTTTCCCGTCGAAAATGTTGCAACGCATCTCTGCCCCAATTGACAGGACTTTGTGGAAAGCATTTCCATGTCCTGCTCTCAGATACAGATATTGAAGCTCATACATATGGCAAGTGGCTGGAAAATAAAGTGTGGTAGTAGGAATTTTTAGGGCAGAGTAGTATGAGTTACTTCTTACAGAAATTGATTTATAAATTATTATTTAAAAGTTTCAATTTTTTATATGTAATTGTAAGTATTTTAATCTTTAAAATGTTATTAAGACGTTAAAGGGAGAATTCCTAAGGCTTTTATTAAGAAAGTAAAGTAAGCACCGGGTATTATAACCACTTTTTTTTTTTTAAATACTAATCTAAATCTGTCCAATTAAATCACTTTTAAAATGCTTGATGTTAAATATATATGAGCGTGAAAATTTAGCTTAACAGCTTAGGAGGAGATAATTCTAAAGACACAGGTAATTTATTTTATTGAGATAAAAATCAATTACAAATAAATCCTTTCATGCCAAGCCCTATACAAATTTTTGTATAAAACATTAAAAACCATAAAATAAAAGTATACCTTTTTGGAAAATATTCGAATACGAACTGTAATATTTACTTTTGTAAATGTTTGCATTACAAGGTGTTTCCATTTTTAATTGTTCATCGTAAATGGCTTTAAAAACGATGCGAATGATATGAAATCGTAATGCATATGGAATCGGAGCTAATGGAAGGGGATTATGCCAATAAGTGGTTGCTTAAAAATATAAAAAAAAAATGCATACATATATATATATATATACGTTTGTAGTTGAAAGCAATTAGTGAAAAAACACAGGTTTCAATGGCAGATGAATAATATTTGATCTGAGCTGGAATTTTTCGATTGGGGGGCTGTATCCTTGGCCTCCTTTTATGCAAATAATGGGTGCAATATGTCACCGAACAGCTGACAGTTTGGATGAAGTGTCGGCGACAGGATACGCAGAATACGGGGAAAAGGATATGTCTGTGGCTGGTGGGTAGGTGGTGGGCTTGGTGGGTTTTGTGGGGAAAATAAAATGTATAAAATATTGGCTGTCTACACGAATTCTAGGCAAGAAACCAAATTCAATTTATATGCAAATGATATGCGAAGACGAAACCGAAACCGAAACCCAAACCCGCAGCCGATGGCATAGAGCTACAACATATTTGAATTTTAATTATATTTATTAAAAATGTAATTATGTAAAGGTGGTTTTTAAAAACAAAAAAAGAAAGAAAAAGGTAATAAATAAATAAGCAGCAGTCCGTTCATTAAAGCTTTCAGGTGAAGTAGCGAACTCCGTCATCTGACTCCTCCTCGCGGAGGTCGTAGTATGTGGGCTTTGGATACCGACTGTTCTGGTACGACTTCTCAGTGGCAGTCTCCTCCTGCTCCTCGGACTCCTCTTGGGACTCCTCCTGGGACGCCTCCTTCTCATATGTGGCTTCCTCGCCGTAGGTCTGATAACAGGGCTTTACTGTAGTCTTCTTCTTGGACTTGGTCTTCTTCTTCAGTTTCTTGTCCAGTATATCCAACTCCTTGTCCTTTTTGTCCTCGAAGAAGGCCAACTCCTTCTCCTTTTTGCCCTCGAAGAAAGCCAGTTCCTTTTGTTTCTTCTCGTCCCACCACTGCTTGAACTTCTCCCACTCTCCCTCCTTCTTCTCCAGCTTGGCCTCCTCCTTCTCGGCGAACAAATTCAGAAAGTCCAGTTTCTTGAGCAGCTCCTTGTGCTTCTTCCCCTCGAACCATTCCAGCTTGTCCTCCTCCTTGTCCTCCTTCTCCTCCAGCAACTTCTCGAGCTTCTCCAGCTTCAGCGGCTTCAAGAACCATCCATGAGCTTTAAAGACACAGACAGGGTTCGATTCGGTGTCATATTTATTTAATTTAATTTTTTTTCATGTGATTATTACTTACCGAAGCAGGCCATTGCCAGAAGCAGTAGGGTTCGGTGTCCGAATTTCATCTTGGCTGACGGTTTCTACTGCAGTCTCTGTCTGGTCCCAGATGCTGACCTGGCTACTTATAACCCCCCCGATCCGAAATCCGTAATACGAAATCCGAGCCACTACGGCACGGAGCACGTGTTCCGATAAGCACGTGCACTTGCCCAAATACCAGTAATCGGTCCGCCAGAGCTCGCGGCATATTTCTGACTTTCTGAATGCGGCGATGCCGATTGCATTAGGGTTCAATGCTCTATTTACACTGCAAAAAAAAACGTTTTAAAAAAGTAAGAACTTGGAGGATAAATAGTATAATATTTACTCTTTTATTGAATAATCCTATATACACATAACGACATATAAATAATATTTATATTGTCTACATAAACTTAAACTTCTATTAAAATATATATTATTTCTAAATAACAATTTGTTAAATTAAATGTAATAATATTTTTTATAAATAGAAAAACTTTAAACACGTTTAGTAAAAGAATAATGTATTATTTTAACCTAAGATCATAAGACTTAAGATCATAAGATATAATTATTGAAACCTTGATGAAAGTTTAAAGAAGGAAATTAATATAAGTACATTATATAAGCATTTATTGGTGTAAAAACATATATTAATTTACTATTATTTATTTAAATATGAGATAAGAGTCTATATTACTAAAAACTAATATTATAATATTAATACCATTAAATAGAGTTCATAAAAGTAGTTGTAATTAGTTATCTATAATCATAAGAAGCTTTTAAAATTCCCTGTAATTTCTTGAGCGTAACATTTTTTTTGAGTGTAGTGGCCTGGTCAGCTGTCACTGTGATTAGGCGGGCAGTTATTTTGCAAGTTGGTAACTTTGGCAATGCTGGCCAAGATTTTAATGTGTTAGTTCGTAGTTGTGCGTCTCGAAGCCAGGCGCTGCTAATTGACTTGGCCATTATTTGGGGGTGGTGGGTTGTGGGTGGCTGACTGGGTGAATGGGTGGATGCCTGGAACTCCTAGAGGGGGATGGCGTGCTTGGGGGTGTTGCCTGGCTTGTTTTTGCTGATGTGTTGAAAGTGGAAGTTAAATTGTATTTGTTTAGTGCGCCTCGTGCACATGGGGAAACCCTGTTTGTGTTGGCCAAACAGTTTGCCAAATTAATTGCACACCAACTGTTTATTTGCCTGTTTGTCCGTTTGTGTTTTATGAGTTTCCCCCTTCTCCCACCCAAATACCCTTCTCGAGTTACTCTTTGAAAAGCTGAATCCAGAATGCTCACCCCATTGCCTCCTTTACTTAACTTGGCACATTAACGAGGGAAACACAAGATGGCAATCTGACAAAAATAATTATTCCTCAGCAAAGTATTGAATAAAGACTTGTACCTCAAAAGAAAATAAATGAGTTAATTGAGTCGAGTGTGGAATATATATTTATATCACTATTATTACAGGCCTATACTATTTAAAGCTTTGAAACTTTACCACAAGTTTGAGAGTAAAAAAAATTAATTATTTTCTTAATATATTTTAGTAAGAGACATACCTCTTAATAATTTTTGTATAAGTTGAACATAACTTAACTTATCTTTAATATTCTTTGTTCACAACTTGGGTGCTGACACGATTTTTGATAAGAAATGGCCCAACACTTAAAAACAAAATATTTGACGACTGATAGTTACTTTAAAAGTAAAAAAACGAAAGATAAAGAAACTAATTATTCTCAAAAGAAACAATTGTTCTCAAAAGAGTAACTTTTTTTCTGCCACAAACTAACCCCAAAAAACACTATTTTTTTAATAATAACATTTAATATTCGAATAATTTTGCTAAACTTAAACAGATATGAAGCAGAGGGTTACTCCAGGTCCTTCATCTCAGTCTCCATGGGGATTATGTCAACAACTATTGGCTCTATTCGGGAATCCTCAAGTTATCAATATTACCAAGATCCAGAGCAGTACCTGGTATCGGTTCTATAACTCCATTTGGACTCAAAACCACCATGTTTTCGTAGTCCTCGCTGAAATCATCGTCATTTGGTGTTGTCCTGGGAGTGGTTGTGGTTGTTGATGTAGTAGTGGTGCTAGTGCTAATCGAAGACGGCGGTGAAAAAGTGGTGGTGGTGGTGCGACGCCTCTGCCTTCGGCCCTTGCGACCTTTGCGACCCTTTCGCGATTTTCGCTTTCCATATGAATTGGATTTTCCATACATATTTGGATAAGGCTCCACTGTGTAGACAGTGTAGGCGGGTACAGTGGTGCTGAGATATGGTGTTGTTGTAGAAGCTAGAGTGGTTGTTGTGGTAGCTTGTGTGGTTGTTGGTGTAACTGTTGTGGCTAGTGTGGTTGTTGTGGAAGCTTGTGTGGTTGTTGTTGAAGTTTGAGGTATTGTTGTTGAAGTTTGTGTAGTAGTTGTTGAAGCTTGAGTGGTTGTTGTTGAAGCTTGTGTGGTTGTTGTGGAAGCCTGTGTGGTTGATGAAGCTTGTGGAGTTGTTGTTGAAGCTTGTGTGGTTGTTGAAGCTTGTGTAGCTGTTGTGGAAGCTTGTGTTGTTGTTGAAGCTTGGGTAGTTGATGTTGAAGATTGTGTTGGTGAACTTTGTGCTGGTGTTGTCGAAGTTTGTGTAGTTGTTGTGGAAGCTTGTGTAGTTGTACTTATTTGTGGTGTTGTTGTCGAACCTTGTGTGGTTGTTAATGGTGTTGTGGTGGAGGTTTGAATGCTTGGTGTTATTGTTGATGTTATGGTGGAAGTTTGAGTACTTGTTGGTGTTGTTGAAGTCTGTGTGACCGTCGTTGTGGACTGTGGTGTTGTGCTAGATGGTGCAGAAACTGTTGTTGTGGGTGTAGATTGTGTGCTCGTAGTGCTTTCTGTTGTTGATATTGGAATGGTTGTGGTGGACTGTGGTGTTGTTGTGGAAGCTTGCGTGCTTGCTGTTGAGCTCTCTGTGCTTGTGGCTGTTTGCTGGGTAGTGCTAGTATCTGAAAGTGTTGTTGTGGTTGAAAACTCAGTTGTTGTAGTTATAGTTGATGCTTCGGTTGTTGTGCTGGAGTTATCCGATTCGGCTGCTGCTATTATCTCGCTGAAACTGATTGTTATGGTGGCATTCGAAAGGGTCCCATTTTCCGACTGTTGTTGGTTGTTGTTCTGAAATATGGTGGCCGCAAACGAAGACGCCTGACCCGCTGTGAGACAGAGCTGACAGGCTGGGAAAAAGAAGGCGGAATTAGCATTTAAGCTGGAATCAGTGGACACCACGCTAATTACCTAATGTTGTCACCACAACGAGGGCAATTAAATGTCTACGTGATGGCAGCATTGTCGACGTGCTAGCCTTCTGTCACTTCTGGTTTTCCTTAATTAGCCCTGAATTGAAGCCTTTGGCTGGTGGTAAGCAATGTGTCGTACTGCTCTATAAATTTGGCTAATTGAACTGATTGTCTGAGTGCTCAGATGGTCCAGTTTTATATCGATGCACGTCCGGAAACGTGTGCTCGGTACGTGCGATTGCCGATTAAATTATCGCGTCTTCTTCCCGATGCCAATCTTGAAAATTTTCCAATGCGCTGCCAAATGCTCCCCGTGTATCTGTTGCCACTCGCTCTTACTCTTTCTCTCATTTTATTTTTTATTTAATTTTTTATATAAATGTACTTATGTCGGTTTTTTATTTTTTTTGTGGCCCATTCTCAATTCTGAATCAGATTCAGATGCCGGAAGCAGCTTACACTTGTTGAACTCTTTTGAATGTGTACGACATGCTCACCGGATGCACTCCACTTGCATTCGATTTTTCACCGGTTCTGGCCACAAAAGTCACGTAATCTTGGCCAACTGCTGACTGAAATAAAGCCAGATAACAATTGCATTTATAACTTTAATGGATCTTTAATGAAATCTTTTTATTTTTAAGTTAATTATAGCACCGAAAATGTTTGAAATGTCTGTATTTTTCTTGTTAAAACTTTGTTGATAATAATCTGACTATTATTTTTGCAATAAATATGAATCTTATAATAAATAAGATACTAATCCTATGGGTCACATTATAATCCCTTGAAAAAGTCGATCTTTCTAATAAATATTTATTGAGCTGGTTCGTATTTATACAATTGTTGATAGCAGAAAAAAAAAATCGGAAATTTAATTAGGATTTTACATGTGATTTGCCATTATTTTCTGACACCCAAAAACCCCCATTGATTACGCCACTGATGCTAGCTGGAAAATAATAATTATTTAGCGTGAACGTGACGAGCAGCCAATGGGAATTATAAAAACAAACATTTGTTAACACAAAACTATAAAAAAAAGACAAAAATGTAAATTATTATAATGAAAGAGTATTAAATAGTAGATGCCAATATTTAAATGGAATTTAGGGAAATTTTATAAGTTAAATTGAAACACTTAACTGGAGTTTGTCTATTTTGAATATGTTAAAATGAAATAAATGAAATAAAATCCTTAGAATTTTAAAAAATTAAGCCCCTGATTAAACTAATCTATTATTTTATTTTGTCTAAGTATAGGATATTGCAAAAATAGTTTGAAATAAACGTTTTCAAATGACGTATATGTTTTGGAGAATTTTCGCAGCGATTTAAAATCGGCGATAATCCATTGAGCACGCTTTTGGTTTAGATAGTGATTGTATTAGCTGTACGTGCAGTTGGCCCACTAAATTCTCCCAGAGTGCTACTATATAAGCCCCACTCATATTAGCCAAGTCAAGTAGTTGATACAGCTATTCCCATTCGAGTCAACATGTTTGCTAAAACGTTTGTCGTTGCTATTATCCTGTGCGGTAAGTAGATATTGTATTTTAAATCATTTCAATTTATTTATGTATATTTTCCAATTTTATATTTAGCCTGTTATTTGGGCATGATCCAGGCCCAACTTCCACCCCCGGTTACTAGTGTTCTTGGGGCAGCCACTCCTGTTCTTGGTGGTGCTGGTGCTGGTTTAGCTACTGGTTCGTTGTTGACACAAGGTTTGAATACCGCCGGCAATCCAGGAGGTATAATTAACGGTACACCCGGACTCCTGCCTTCAGCATTAGGTTAACCTTAGAACTCAAAAAAAAAAAAAATAAGTATATTTGTGCAACACTTTAAACTGTTTGTCAATTTGTGTATTTTAAAAATCTTAAAAATGATATATTTTTTTGTTTAAATAAAGTAAAGATTCATAAAATTAATAGTACTATTTTATTTTAATTCGAATTTAAGTTGATTTTTAAATAGGAATTTTTATTTTAAAGCATTTTCCAGGTTCAAAGCTTCCAAGAGTATGCGATTTACAGTCTGAAATACTTAAATTCGAAGCGAGGTTTCTTCTATCTTCCAAAGAATCCGTCCAATGTTCTCAAAGAAGGATTCTACAAATTTATTTGAAATTCTTTTAAAAATTCAAAAGTTATGTAAGATCGCGTATGCCCCCTAAAACAATAACCTTATTAAATGTTCACCTTAAAAAAAACTAATCTTTAGTTCGTGAGCTATTTAAGCCCAAGAACCACGTAATAACAAAACCAAAACACTATTTATTGAGACTTCCTAGTCCCTAGAAATAGTTAGTTTCCAACTTGAAGATGTCGAGCCACCAAGTATTACTTATTCTTCTATTAGGCCGTGAGTATTTTGGCCTAACTATGAAAGGATTAAGCCTTTAATATTTCATATCCATATAGTGTTTTTCACCATGGCCTGGAGCCTGCCAGCTCAGCCTTTAAATTTGGAAAACTCGAGCTCGGAAATCCAACAACTTTTTCGAAAACTAGTGGAACAAGTTCAGAAACTTATTGCAGAATTCTTGAAAGAGTTTAAGAAACTAAGTGGACAGTGAAAGAAAATAAATTAAATATGAAATTTAAAAAAAAGAGTTATTTTTGAATTTAACTGCCAAGTTAGTTTAATGAAACAATTACGTTCAAGTGCCAAAATACGTTCGAAATTGACATTCCAACCTTTGAAATAGCTCATCATCTAATGTTGGATAATGACATAGGAATCTCTGGTGGGTCATTATGTTTATGGCTGGCACTTTTGTGGCTTGCCGCATTACTCAGACGGTGACTGTACCCAAAGGGCAAAGAGTGAAAATGCCTAAAATTATGCAACATATAAAGGCACAAGAACACAAATACACCAACTACACCAACAACAGCACATGCCCTCATTCTTTTGGGGGGGAAAATGTGTTAAGAAAATCTTAACGAAATTTCTCACGTTTGCCATAATTACGAGCAAAATACGTGACATGTGTCTTGACTGCGAAATTTAGCAGCTTTTGGTCTCGGTTTTGGATTGGGTTTTTGGGTTCTCCGGGTTCCGGACTCCGGGCTTTTTGATTTTGGCCTTTCTGGTTTTTGGTTACGGGTTACTGGTTACTCTGGATACTGGATTCTCTAGGACTCTGGTTTCTGGGTTATTGTAAGTATAAGTGTAAGTAATGCATATATGCAGGGCTTTGCCAAAACACGACCTGTAACGGGTGCCGAGTTGTAAATGGCAATAATACCAATAAAAATCTGTGTACCACCCGAAACCACCCCCACGGTAATTCATAAAAATCTCTTGAACAAATGTTTGTGACTCTTGGTCGTGACTTTGGGCCACAGAGCATTAATAATATTTTTAGATGGTCGGAGGAAATTGTTACGCTGCCTTTGAATAATTCAGAAAAAAAATGTTGCATTTTGTCTTAAAGTTTTCTCTCCATATCAGAAGTGTGTTACGTTGTGTTGCGTGATTGAATTGCCGTCTGATTGACAGTTGACAGTTGAAATTGATTTGGCTGCGTGGTTCCTGGTGGTTGAAACAAGCCATTCTGTAAGAATCCATCTATAGGATGGATGGATGGATAGCTGGCTGGATAGATGGATGGATGGATGGATGGATGGATAGAGGAACAAACAAACAGCCACACTTATTAATCCCTCGAGTGCAGGCGTGCATAAGTATCGGGCAAATGGATTAGAAACATTTATGTGCACCACGAATGCACTGCGAGAAAATATATTCTCAAGAAAATATTTAAAAGAAACGGTCATACCGAAAGATGATTAATTAGGAAACGATTTTTTGAAATAAATTAAAAATTAAACCGTCCTATACTGTTTAATAAGCATAGATAACTCTAATAATGATATAACTAAGTAAGTTTTTCTATTTTACAATATATGTTGGTAATAATGAATAACCAATAATGTAAATTATATTTTAAAAATAATATAAATTAAAATAATTAATTTTGAAAAAAAATAAGCTAAATATGATACTTACTTGTCTCACAAACGAATACGAAAGGAATATGACTCCTTCAGCACTTTATAAAGTCAAAAAACAACATTAAATCCTTCTCCCTTACTTACTTAATATCTTTAAGTAAGAATATTTATTTTTCCGTCTGTAAATAAGCAATGCAAACTGCGGTTGTTGGCCAACTTTTAGGACGAAAGGCGAACGGACTTTGCACCCAACGGTTCCTTGGCTTCCCTCGAATCTGTTGCTATTTAATTAAGTTGGACACTGCGGATCGAGTGGTGAGTGCGGAATGCGGAGTGGGTGGGTGCTGAGTGGCAGCATATGGAGGTGGAAGATGGGCGGTGCAACCCCTGCCTTCTGCCTGCCTTGGAAACCTGCATCCATCCCTTTGCCACATTTGTGTGACAGTTAATGAACTCCCGTCACTCTTTTGCCTCGCCTTTGTTTTTGTCGCTAATCAAAGATCCAAAGTACGGAGTACGGAGTCCTGAGCCCGGAGTCCAAAGCCCGGACGGTATGTGAGCGGCATACATAAGCAATAAGTGCAATCAATTAATTGATGGATGATGTGTAAAATGAAAAGCGAACGGGGACTTGTCAAAGGCACTTTTCTTTGAAAAGCATGGAAGAGAAGAAAGGTGGTGTGTGGAGGTGGTGGTGTGGATAAATAAAAGGATTTCATTATTTTTTCTTGAAAAGTTAGATTGATTAGCGAAATAAGCTTAATGACTAAGAAGATATTATCTTTTACTTTAACCTTAATTAATCTTGAAGCTGCTTCATATTTAACAACTTTTTTATCTTACTAAGACCTCAGGAATTTATTTTATGCCTGAGACCACTTTTATAAACTATAGATATCTCAGTTATTTGGCAACTGAATTAGTGACGAAATACCAATAATAAATCATTAAATCAATAATAAATTTAGAACCTTAAAGTTTACTTTTGCTTTGCCTCATTTTTGACAAACATGATCTTATCCCTTACAAAAATTCCACAAAATTGTCACCACTTTTGTTGCCAGGTTTTTTTTTAAATAATGAGTACTTAAAGTTCTTAGATTGGATAGTTATAACATTTAAGATCTGCCAATTATTATAGGAGTTGTGCACTCTTTTCCATCACATAAATTACAAATTTTGGTATTTTTGTTTTTCATTTTGCAAATACATTTCTTACTCGATTTAAAAACCAACTACCATTTACGAAATAGAGCTTAAATCTCTTTCGATCTACAAGATTAGAAAAGTTAGATCCAAGATTAAAAAATTTATTTAGTTCAATGGACAAATGACATCCTCACATGGTCTTAACATGGCTAATATCGGTTTTTGTTGGCAGATCAATAAACTTAAAAAACCAGCCCATGATTTTTTTCAAGTTTTAGGTTTGAAAATGTCCCAAATAACTGAAATAAACAAAGTTTATTACTTTTACAAAACATTTTAAAAAATTTGTAAATTAAACCACTTTTGAATATTTGAAAAATAGACTTTTATATCCAACAAGCTTTCAAATATTCCTGGGTCTTTGAGCTAATCATTAAATAAACTTTTCAGACTTACTGTCTGCTACTTCATAGAATCAACGAATTGAATTTCCCTTTCATAACTTAAACCTTTTTTTATGTAAACGCCAAATGAATTGAACTTCTTTTGACAAAAACCTGTCTATCGCAAAATATATACTTGTATAATTTCCCTTGGAGACCAAAAAGTCGCCAGGCTCATCAAAGATCCTGAACCATTCTGGGGCACAGTCACTCAGATGTTGCACATCTGTATCTGGGTATCCGAGTATCTGTGTATCCGAGTATCTATGTATCTGTGTTGATTGCTTTGACAAATCTGAGGCTCGTGTAATTTCATTACAAAAGCCCAGAATCGGCTTCAGCACGGGATTACCACAAAAGCATTTTTCGAGTTGAATTTATTCCCCAAAGTGCAGGCATAAAAAAAAAGGAGACGGAGGACAATACCAGAAGGTCCTGCGACGGCAGGAGGAGGCCATGTCTGGACGGGTTCTCCAGATGCTTTCTATGTAACCCATACCCCCTGAAAATTAAATTCAATTGTGTGACAAGTTAATCCTATTTCTCATCTCCCAACTTTTATTTAAGCTTCATTCTTTATGCATTACATGCGAGCTGTGTGCGTCCATCAATCAGTCACTCCGTCAGTTTCTCATTCAGTCAGTCAGACAGTCAGTCATTCAGTCAGTTAGCCAGACAGTCAATCAGTCAGTCAATCCGTCAGTCAATGCGTCAGTCATGGGCTGTCAGAAATATTTGATTCGCCGCCTTTGCCGGAAAAGTGAAAGCGAAGGGTTGCTGTCTGTCTGTCTGTCTGAGTTTTCCGCTCCCCAGGGGCGTGAGGCGGGTGAAAGTTGAGTGCCGGCACTCTCCGGCCACCCAGCTCCCTCTGGCAACACTTCATTAAACGCATAAAGCAATAAAATGTTCAAAACAAAGGATACCCCTCCCCATCCATCTACACACCCACACCCATCCATGACGCAAAAAAAGGCTTCCTCGACTGTCTGACAGCTTGACGTTGCCTGCTAATGGCAGAGAAAAGGATGCCAGGATGCTAGGATGCCACTCTGCCGGGATACTCGACCGATTGAAACATTGTCGAAGACCTGCAAGTTGAGCATCCTGGTCCGTGTAAAGTCTTAAAGTTCCCGGAACACGGATCCCAAAAATGAAACTGGAAACCATTTAGTTCCTATGGTTGCGCTTCATTTTCTGCTTTGATTATGCTAATGACTGTTTCCCGAGAAAGATGGAAATCTTTTTTGGCCAAATTCGGTTTCAGATTAGCCAAACAAACAGAGGGAAGGTGTACAGATCCTGGATAAATTGGATAAAGCTTCAACACTTTAAAGATAAATGTTGGGGTGGTTGTGATTTGTTTTGAACTTTCCTGTGAAATACATAGCAGAGAAAATCCAATAGAAACCGTGGTTTTATTTTTAATAGGATTTATGGAGGGGGTTTTTTGTAGAGGATATTACAATTTGGTTCAGAAAGAGGAATAGAATGGATGGATTTTGGAAGTATTTCTGATTACTCTGGTAACTCTATTTAAAAATTTGCATTGCCATAAAAAGTACCGTGGATCGTATAGCTAATGTATATCAATTAAGGTCTTTTATTGATTTTTTTGCTCCTAAATGGTATTTCCAAAAGTTACATTTTTTAAACCTAACTTCACTAAAGTTCACGAAAGTCATCAGTAAAATAGAGACTAAGTAAATCTAGAGCTCTAGGTTAATCCATGCTCCGTACAACAATAATGAGGCCTTTTGGTAACTACATCAAAAAAAAAACACCCTGAAAGGATAGCCAATATAATGGATATAATGAGGAGATTGCATGACTGCCTTTTTGGGGGCCGTATTGACTGAATTGCAGTTCAATCAACTGTACGGCGGAGTTTCGTTGCCGTTATTTTGTCACGCCCCCACCCGTATGAAATGGCAGACTGGGATCAGACTTTGTCCATCATCAGGGGATTGATTGTCGAAATGCCACCCCCCAGACTATCTTTCCATTTATCCCGATGTCCATTTATGCATCTCTCCATTAATACATCTCTCCCATCCATCTCTACAGATTCTACCATTTCTCCCATCTCTGATTCTATCCGTCTATCCATGTCCATTGTAATGGAGTCGCCTAGTTGTATCTTTATTACGGTAATTGCTCATTGAACAGGAAATTATTATATGCGTGCCGGTATCCTTCTTGTTCTCTCGTTCCTTCTCCTGCATCTCTTCCCTTGAACCATCCATCCGCCTCCCGGCTAGGAGAGTTCAGGATCCAGGAATAAAACAGGACCGGCGGGGATAAAAATAGAGCATTCGGACACATCGGTGAATCGGTTACGCTTCTGGTCCGGGGACGTATCTATGATGTATGTGGACGCATGCGACTCTGGATAATGGATGAACGGGTAGCGGTTTACTGGGAACCGGTAAAGAAATAAAAAGAACGAGACACACTGGAACACAGAGCTTGGCGGGGGTCTGGTTCTAAAAGAGATAGACCATTTTTTGGGGAAAGTATTTTCCATGAATAGACTAGAAAGTGGAGCGAAAGTATAGTCTATGAAGTTGGTGCGAGAATTTTATAGTCTTTTTCTTTCTTTTTTTTAAATACGAGGTAGCACCGCTCCCACTGTCGCCAGCTCCAGGTCGTCGTCCTCGTCCTCGACGTCGCCATCGCCTTCGCCCATCTGCCCGGTGGCCATGGCCGGTTCCCGCCAATTCCACACGAACACGCCATCGCCAGCGCCCATATTGAAGCCGGCACTCTGCCGGAGCAACAGGATCCTCAGGTTGAGCATGAAGCGCTCCACATCGGGCGGATGATGGTGGTTGTGACGTAATCGCACTGCTGCCGCTCCAATGCCAGCTCCGGTTCCGGCTCCCATTCCAACCGGAACTATTCCACCTCCCATAGTCGCCACTGGTGTTGCTACTGGTCTGATTTCCGCTTCGGCAAGCATTTCCGGTCCAGGGCCGGTACCAATGGCTCCGGTTCCGGGTGCTACCGTTGCTGTGCCTGCCGCCGGAATCCGGGCATCCCGCAGGCGGCGGTGCACTGAGCGGTCCACCTCAGGCTCCCGATCGCCCGGCATACGCTCCGATCCTCCATGCTGTTGTTGCGGCTGCTCGTGCTGCTGCCTCGGCCGGAAGGGATTCATTTTCAAGAACTATTTTCGTCCTGCCGCGAACTCCCTTTTCTATTCCTTTTCTTCTTTTGGGATTCTTCGGGACTTTGATTTGCAATTTTTTCCCTCGTTTTTTGGAAGATATCGTTTCTTTTTGTATTTTTTGTCTCCGTTCGGATTTATATTTTTTAACGTTTTTTTTTTAAATATTTTTTGTTTAGTTTTAAGGTTTTAGGCTCAAGATTTTTAGCGAAATATTTTTTTTGCTAACCGGAATTTCGAATCGAAAGGGACTGCAACGAGAGTACATTTTTGTGTGGCAGTTTCAATATTGACAGTTGGCCACCCAAAGGCGACCTGATCCGGTAGAAATCAATGTTATTATTAATTCTATGAGCGCTTCAAAAAAATGCCTCCAAATGAAAGATATGAAACATTTTATGCAATAAATGGAGGTTAAAACGATTCAATAAAACAATATAAATACCAGCAACTTTAAACATGTAATTAATAAAAAGATTTATGTATATAAATAGAGAAAAGAAAAAGAAGACTCAAAAAACACATTTACCAGTACACAGCTTCAAAAAAATTTTAAATATAAGTTCATCTTACATTCGAAATTGCGCCAACGCTTATCGTAATTTTGCGAATTCCACCGAAATACGAATTTCTTCGGAGATCGGAGTCAAAAATATAAACTTAAACATTACGCTAGCGGTGGGCAGCAGAAGCTTTGTTCTTTGTTCAGTCACTATAAACTCTTAGCGGTGGTCAGCGCCCTTTTCAAATTTTGATTTCAAATTTGCAATGCTGAACACTAAAACGCCTAAACTATCGTAGAAACTATCGTATGGACTTTAAAAAAGTAATGGTGTGCTAGTATTAAATTTCTACCAATACTTTTGAACCACATTTATGGCTTAAACTGCTTTCCAATAAGAAATTAATAGTGCGGGATCGGAACGAGGTCTCATATATTCATCGTTTCGTGCCTCTGTAATGAGCTAAATTCTTTAAAAACGAGGATATCCCGCCTAAAGCCAAAAATATACCAAAAACTAATTTTGCCACACATGTGCCAATTTGGGCTTTTTAAAATATGGCAAGTGTTGGAAAATACCTTACTGTTTTTTTCATTCGACTTCCGGATTCCAAGCTAATAATATATTTTCATCAAAACTTTGCTCCAAAATGGACAAGGAAAACTCCAATAAAAATTCTAACGAGGGTCAGAAAGGGTTCCCAAATGTTCTGGGCACCGAGGAAAGTGAATTCAACGCCCATTTGAATCGTATTCGCGGAAACCTGCAGACCGCTGTATCGCATGTTAAGGTGGGTCGGCGTCCGTCGCGCCGCTATAAGCCACAGATAACTGGAGAACTGGAGAAAGAAGAGCCGCGCAAGCTAAAACACCAATGGGCTTTCCCGACACCAAGCGAGCTGGATAACTTTCTGGAGGACTCTAAGAACGATCATGACAAGGACAAAAAAAAGGAGGAAGGCAACGACAACGGCCAGAAAATGGACGAAAAGATGAAAGAAAAGGTTTCCTTTGTAGGAGTGCAGTGCATCTGCTCCGAATGTGGCAATTCCCACATCAGTGGAGACAACGCTGAGACTGGTCAGGATGAAGCATCCTCTTCGATCAAGAATCGATTGAAGGAGTGGAGGGCCTTGGTGCTGCCAGACGATAGTGACGAATAAGACCTCGTTTTTTTAACAGAGCCATAAACAATTATTACACTGACACTATATATATTGACCATATATCAACCATAGTCAATGATTCTTCAAATCACACAAAACTTTAAACCACTATATTCACTACAAGTTTAACAAATTCAAGATTCAGATATACATTCTTTCAACATTTCCGAAATTATTGTTTTTAAAAAACGAATACTCTGTTATAGCATTTAACGAAACATTTTTTAAAAATATATCGCTCTATTCAGAATAACATACATATCTAAAAAAAATCCTTTTATTAAAAAGTGGATGGGCCAACTAAAAAATTAAAAAAAACAAATGCTTTTTGCAAATTTCAAACTGAAAGAAAGATTCCACTAACCATTTTCAGAGACCACCAGCTGAGAGATCTCATCGGCTTGAAGGACTGAATGGAATCTATCTTAATCTCAGCAAAGGCAACAGGACTCGCCCCTCTATCTGCTACGACCGATGCATATTTAATTAAACTTTCACCTCTTCAAAGACGACAAAGAATTTGTGACGGGGCTGGCAAAAGCGAGAGAAAGACAGGTCCACAACACTTTTTGGCTCCAATCCATCCAGCCAGGACATCCAGCCGGGGGACCTCCAGCCAGGTAGCATGTAGTGGGTTGTAGCACTAACCATACAGCATATAGACAACCCATTTCATACAACGAAAATGGACGCAAAAATTTCTTGCGACAGGCCCCAGCAGGCCCCAGAGCGGATTTCTTACGCTCATCGTTCGTTCATCTTACGCTCATTCTCTCATTAAATTTTTTCTGTTTCTCAGTCTCTAAACGGAGCGCGATGAAGAAGGTTGGCCTGCGCTTCGGTTGATCTTTGTATGTATGCGTGTCACACATTCACATACACGGGTGTTTGTGTGCGTACGATTTCGTTTCGAAGCCAGCGCACAAAATTTGGATTTTTCTTACTTTTCAGGCTTGCTACCCTAACAAAATTCGGGTATTCGTTATTTGATGAAATGACGAAAGAAATTTATTATTATTATACATTTATTATTTATTATACATTTTTAATTTATTTAGGAATTAGATTAAGTGTTAGTAGTAAAATGTTTTCTGCATATATATTTTTACGAATCATTAAAAATCAATATACTGAGAATGTGTCAGAGTATATTTCAGTCGGAGTCACTTAAAGCGCCGATTGCTTTTAAGTTTTTGTTGTTCTGCAAGAGGCTTGTGCATGCCTACTCTAACGATGGAATGATTTTTAAGGGAGGGTGAAGACGGGTGAAGAATTAAATTACTTTTTAAAGTTCCAAAATATATAAGGAAATTATTAAATTAACGACAATAATTTAATTAAATCTCACAATAACCCAAAATAATAAGTGCCTGAAAAATTGTAAACAAAAAGGTAAACAAGTCCATCAGCTGTTTTCGTGTCTTCACCCTCCCCTAAAAATCATTCCATCGTTAGAGTAGGCATGCACAAGCCTCTTGCAGAACAACAAAAACTTAAAAGCAATCGGCGCTTTAAGTGACTCCGACCGAAATATACTCTGACACTTTCTCAGTATATTGATTTTTAATGATTCGTAAAAATATATATACAGAAAACATTTTACTACTAACACTTAATCTTATTCTTAAATAAATTAAAAACGTATGCTGAAATAATAAAAAAATAATATAATTTCTTTTGTCATTTCATCAAATACGAATACCCGAATTTTGTTAGGGTAGCAAGCCTTAAAAGTAAGAAAAATCAAAATTTTGTGCGCTGGCTTCGAAACGAAATCGCACGCACACATACACCCATGTATGTGAATGTGTGACACGCATACATACAAAGATCAACCGAAGCGCAGGCCAACCTTCTTCATCGCGCTCCGTTTAGAGACTGAGAAACAGAAAAATTTAATGAGAGAATGAGCGTAAGATGAACGAACGATGAGCGTAAGAAATCCGCTCTGGGGCCTGCTGGGGCCTGTCGCAAGAAATTTTTGCGTCCATTTTCGTTGTATGAAATGGGTTGTCTATATGCTGTATGGTTAGTGGTTGTAGGCAGTACGTACACTTAAAAGCAAACACGACAGGCTCTAATTAAATCAGTTTTAATTAATGCAAAATGCGAAATTTTCAAAAGACATTGCCAGTGACTTGACTGGAAACATGGAAAACAGAGCTTGTCGGCTGGTATTTTCGGGGATGAAAGGCAAAAAAAGCCCAGGACTAGAATCAGGATCAGAATCGGGATGGAGGAGTAGGAAACGTTTTGTTGTCGCATAATTACAACTCAATTGTAATCCAATTTTGGCCAGGCATATAAATCCGATTCCGAGGCACAAAAGCCACGCCCCCCGGGCCTGGAAGGGAGGTATGGACCTCCCCACCGGAGGGTGTCTGTGTCAAGTTTTTTGGTGTCAAATAAATAAACTTTTGACAGGCGGCAGACAGGCCAGCGGGGGGGCGCATCAACAACCCACAAAATATCAGGTCCAGGCCCACCTTTTCAAGCATTTTCCTCTTGCAACCGGAAATGTAAATTAGTATTGGTGGGGTGGTGTGGGATAAGGGAAACGGAAACGGAAACAGCAACAGCACCAGCACCAGAAACCGAAACAGAGAATCAATGCCTTAATAGAAATGTCCGAATGGCAATAGCATCCTTTGAGCAAAAGTCCTGATAACTGCAAATTAGTTGCACATGTTCCCACATGGCCCACAACTCAAAACAAGACGTGTTTGCACTAATTTGGCCAAAATCAACAGCTGTGTGTACATGTGCTCCTGCTCCACCTCCTTCTGGAGGACGGAGGACGATCCTGGTCGCATCTTTTCCCCAACTAGTGTGTGTCTGTGTCTCCGTGTGTCTCTGTGTGAGTGAAGAAAACTCATCATAACTTTCTTATCAAAAACTTATTTCTTCCTTCCAGATACTACTCGCAGAGGCAGTCAGGACAAAAAATAATACATACCATGCCATATATATATATATATATATATATATATATCAAAATTTTGGGGCGAAAAACGAGAAGGAAAACAGAAAAATTGCCTAGAAAAGTTGTTATAATTACACACTGGCACACACGTGCAGAAAGGACATGTGTGTGTGTGCCGCTGTGAGGGCCAAGTCAGGTTTATACACTTAGAGAAAAATGGAGAGCATGAATTGGGTTAGAACGCGAGGATAAACATTTTATTATTTTTATTTAATTAGTTAATTAGATAGCCTTAACAATTAATATTTTAGAAATAAAAGGTAATAAATTCACTAGTGACTTATATTTAAAAAAAAAAAGAGGACAAAATGGACTTATCAAAACAATAGAATACGATACCTGGTACTCTTCCCTTAAAAAATTATTATATTTTTGATTATGATTATTTTTGTTTTTGGCTAAAAAAATAATAGTTTCTAGG